AAATATGGGCACAATCAGAATGTGGACAAGATTAGGAGAAAGGACACGTTAGCACCAGGTATAAACGGGGCTAGTGACTGATCAATCTGCCTTAGCCGCCCCATAATTTTCCCTTCTTTAAGCCCTACACCCTTCTCTTTGTTTCATGTTTCTTCCTGTTGTTAGTCTGGCGTTGTTGTTTTTTTGTTTTGTTTCTACAATTGTAAAGCGACTTTGGGTAATTGAAAAGTGCTATATAAGTGTATTATTATTACTACTATTTGCTCTTCCCAGTGTAGGCATGCCGCAAAGGAGGGCAAAATTTGGAAACAGCCAATAGAAGCAGTTTTGGCAGATAGGAATCGGGCAAGCTTGTTTTGCAAGGCCAGGTCCCCTGGCTGTTGCCCGGGTGGGCGGAGTTAGCACTTCAGCGATACAGATTGAATAGAGCCCTAATTTCTAATCATTGATTAACAAACGTTTTAACAGCCATTTTAATCAGAGACAAATGGAACAGTGTCCTGGTGCTGTCTGAGAAACAAGTCTTGCTTTTTTGATCTGTCTGATAATTTGTCCTTATCTGTTGTGTTTTAGTTAGTGACCAACATTTGCCGCCCCCGGCTCTACAGCAATCGATTACAACAGCAAACTCCGCCTTACATAGTTCGGCATCCCCCGGCTGTGCAAAACGAGCTCACACACTCTTTTGTTGTTCATGGCTGCAAACAGGAAGTCGCCTCACTGTGTACCATATGATGATGTCATGTCATATTGCTGAGCCTGTGAAACCAATGGCCAATATGACAAATACAGTGGGGAAAAAAAGTATTTAGTCAGCCACCAATTGTGCAAGTTCTCCCACTTAAAAAGATGAGAGAGGCCTGTAATTTTCATCATAGGTACACGTCAACTATGACAGACAAATTGAGGGAAAAAAATCCAGAAAATCACATTGTAGGATTTTTTATGAATTTATTTGCAAATTATGGTGGAAAATAAGTATTTGGTCACCTACAAACAAGCAAGATTTCTGGCTCTCACAGACCTGTAACTTCTTCTTTAAGAGGCTCCTCTGTCCTCCACTCGTTACCTGTATTAATGGCACCTGTTTGAACTTGTTATCAGTATAAAAGACACCTGTGCACAACCTCAAACAGTCACACTCCAAACTCCACTATGGCCAAGACCAAAGAGCTGTCAAAGGACACCAGAAACAAAATTGTAGACCCGCACCAGGCTGGGAAGACTGAATCTGCAATAGGTAAGCAGCTTGGTTTGAAGAAATCAACTGTGGGAGCAATTATTAGGAAATGGAAGACATACAAGACCACTGATAATCTCCCTCGATCTGGGGCTCCACGCAAGATCTCACCCCGTGGGGTCAAAATGATCACAAGAACGGTGAGCAAAAATCCCAGAACCACACGGGAGGACCTAGTGAATGACCTGCAGAGAGCTGGGACCAAAGTAACAAAGCCTACCATCAGTAACACACTACGCCGCCAGAGACTCAAATCCTGCAGTGCGAGACGTGTCCCCCTGCTTAAGCCAGTACATGTCCAGGCCCGTCTGAAGTTTGCTAGAGTGCATTTGGATGATCCAGAAGAGGATTGGGAGAATGTCATATGGTCAGATGAAACCAAAATAGAACTTTTTGGTAAAAACTCAACTCGTCGTGTTTGGAGGACAAAGAATGCTGAGTTGCATCCAAAGAACACCATACCTACTGTGAAGCATGGGGGTGGAAACATCATGCTTTGTGGCCGTTTTTCTGCAAAGGGACCAGGACGACTGATCCGTGTAAAGGAAAGAATGAATGGGGCCATGTATCGTGAGATTTTGAGTGAAAACCTCCTTCCATCAGCAAGGGCATTGAAGATGAAACGTGGTTGGGTCTTTCAGCATGACAATGATCCCAAACACACCGCCCGGCAATGAAGGAGTGGCTTCGTAAGAAGTATTTCAAGGTCCTGGAGTGGCCTAGCCAGTCTCCAGATCTCAACCCCATATAAAACATTTGGAGGGAGTTGAAAGTCCGTGTTGCTCAGCGACAGCCCCAAAACATCACTGAGATCTGCATGGAGGAATGGGCCAAAATACCAGCAACAGTGTGTGAAAAACTTGTGAAGACTTACAGAAAACGTTTGACCTGTGTCATTGCCAACAAAGGGTATATAACAAAGTATTGAGAAACTTTTGTTATTGACCAAATACTTATTTTCCACCATAATTTGCAAATAAATTCATTAAAAATCCTACAATGTGATTTTCTGGATTTTCTTTCCTCGTTTTGTCTGTCATAGTTGACGTGTACCTATGATGAAAATTACAGGCCTCTCTCATCTTTTTAAGTGGGAGAACTTGCACAATTGGTGGCTGACTAAATACTTTTTTCCCCCACTGTATGTGCACTGATGTAAGTACAAACAATCTCCTACATTAACCCACAAACCGAAACAAATAAACCCTCATCCGTGTGAGTTGTATTGCTGTAACCCAATGGAAAGTGATAAAAATTGACATGCTGCATCTGTCTTCTAGTAAAATGTTAAATGAGACATTTAAGCAACTTTTAAACCATCTGTGTGTTTGCATAAAATGTGAGTTTAGCAGGTATCACAAACGGCTCGAAAGTAACACACATATTAGCTACTCATATTTCCAGCACAGAGATATGCCGCTTCAAAATATGACAATGAATATTACTTGAGAGACGTGTGGTCTTTGTTCAAGTGTGCGGCCCTGCCTGTAAGTTTGACCATTCTAAGAGACTGACATTTTTACTTTTGGCACTTGCTGCTGCCTAGATCCACAGGAGGTGCTTTGGACTATCCCTTCTCAACCGTGATCAATGGCCAAGAACCAGAGAAAATACATATGCCACTGAGACCGAGTGCCACCCCCTCCTGCTCAGCTTTTAATTGATCCACTCAATGGCTTCACAGTTGACTGCACAGTGGGCTCAGGCCAGGCAGACATTACTTTCCACTGCACAGATGATTTTCAACACAAACACACTTCTACAACATTTGGATCCTGGCCACTTTAAAGCCATTGTGCACAATGATCACAGAAGCAGTACGAAAAAAAAGTAGCTCATACAAACCAATACACAATGACGGTGAGACATACAGTGTGTGTATTTTCATCAATATACATGACATCCTAATGGATGTCTAAGTCAACATGTAACACCAATTCAGTGGCCATGGGGTCACTGTCAGTCTATGTAGCTAATACTGAAGGGTTATGGCATCTTCCTCCTGAGCATACACCGTTGATGTTTCACATAAATGGTATCTACAGTATGTACGTGATCAACAACTGAACAATAAAGCAATTTAGAGGCATATAATGCACGTATAGACCTATATGCATGATAGATATGGGAGTGGCAATAACTGCAAATACATTAATATTATGTACATTACATAATTAAAAGATACAGTACTCACATATGAACAGCACATAGCGCCATCAATCGAGATTGGGGTGGGTTTAAAAAGAAACTACGAAAATCGTCATGTACATCACATCAATGTAAAAATCTATCAGGTAATTGGCAGTAAAGTTGTGATCATGCATCAGATGTAGATTTTGTACACAAAATCTACAGAACGAGATAGAAATGGACATGAATACTGTGGTTCTCCTCCCATATTCTACACCTGCCCTTAGCAGTCTGAAATGAATATACATTCTGATGGATTGGTGCACCTTATCACAGAAATGTCAAAGAAATACTTTACAAAAGGCATTTTGGACATTTTATGAACAGGAATAAGCTCCTGTTGGATTTATCTGGGTCTGTAAAATGCTAACATTTACCACATCCTTTCAAACTACACGGACCATCCATTATGAACAGCTCAACCAATCAAAAGTACAGACCAATTCTGTCTGAACATGCTCAAATTTGGAAACTCACTGGATGACTTTCAGATAGAGGGGAACTTGCAAAGAATAGCCTACACCGATCAATAGGGTCCACTCTGCTCTGTCACCATAAAGATATGCTCAATAATGGTAACTTACAGTTCCAAAAAGCATGACATGTATAGTAATGATACATAATCCTTAGTATCTAGGCACAATGAATGTAGTCCCAGCCACTTTAAGATTAGCATTAACAATCACCCCTTAAAACAAGACCTAAAACACCTTCATTTCCACCATCAAAACCACATGGCAGTAAAAGTGACAATTCTTTCTTAAACACACCTTCCCATGCACTTATGTTAAGCTTATGACTATGTGTTTTACTTTTTGATTTGTGTATATTTTTCATTGCACTGTTGAGGAAGCTCGCAAGTAAGCATTTCATTGCACTGTTTACACTGTATTGATTTGATTACCGTTACTCTTGGCGGGACTTGCCTAACCTACAACATCGCCATAGTTGCTTGGTCAAAGCCTGTTAGGGGGCGTTAGGGAAGCCAAAAGGTACAGTATGTGGGTAATTCAATCAGCGCTGTGTTACAAAGTGCAAAAGTTGTTTTTCTTCAGGGTGTGCAAAGACGGTGAATGGGCATGGGCTCGGCCCATTCACATTCTCTGGATGGATATTGGCCTCTCTCTCGGTCTCTGCATCTTTCCACACAACACTAAAGCCCAGTCTGGTCTGTGTAACCAGGTGTGTCCAATGTCATTGATCTCTATAGCTGGAGACCGGTTGGCCCCAGGGGACGTTGTCCATGTGTCCGTGCCTAGGGGCATCTCGGCTCCAGGCTTCAGGGAGAAGCCCGACAGTGAAGCCCACAGCGGGACACAGGGCAGTGGGAAGAGAGAGCCCTCAGGCAGGGCCGGCAGCCGACCAGGACCCCCACTGGAGAGATAGACGCCTCAGGGCCGATGGAACCTGCCAAGGCACAGGGAAAACAGATGCTGTTGGTTCAGAACTGCAGTCTGCCCACTATAGTACACTGCATACTAGGAATAAATCAAACAGCAGTTTATTATCTTGTATGACTCATAATATAATGAAGTGTAATGGCTGGGGATAAATAAGATCAAAGTTGTCATTACCTGGTGAATTGCTTGCTCTCTTCATGAACTTCCATCTCTTTGCTTTTGAACTCATTCAGTTCTTTACGGATAGCAGCCTGAGGGAATATAAACATTCAAGATCAAAGTCTTCATTTACAAAGAAAAACTACCAAAACAACACCTCATTAAAAATAATACTAAAATGTAATGTCCTTATCAAACAGTCAGAACATCAATACTTTCAGACAGGTAAACATATTTCATATAACTGAAGATCAAAGATGCAATATGCAGAAATCGCTCCACCATTTCCTGGTTGCTAAAATTCTAAATAGTTCGCCTAACTTCAGTTTATGTGACAAAACAAGCAATTCATAGTGTAGAGAATCATTGTACCATCTAAACCTCTGTGAAATATATTTTCAATAACCAAAAATATTGTATTTTCAGCTGTTTTAAGCTGCTGTACAAAACCGAAAGTAAAAGGTGCAAAAACAAAACTTAAGAATGGGAAGCATAGAAATAGCACACATAGATCAACAGATCACTTTCAATGAGAATGACAGATCTTTAACTCACATTTCTTTGGGAATTTGGTCGGGTCGCCCATAAAGTTACATATTGCAGCTTTAAATGATTAATAATAATGAGTTTTTGTGAATAATGTATTTAGAGTATGGTTCAGGTGCTGGCCAGTCGGTGGCATGCATGAGGAATACAACTTTTTTGAATGATGCCTTTTTATAACCTATCTTAGTCCAAGTATTTAATCACATTATGAATGTCATGTATTTTAGGTTCTCTTGCAATAACATTATACAGTAGGAGTCTGGGACGCACTTTGTCAGCTGGAGTGAGCCTGGTCCAGGGTTTGTCTGCACGGCGGTCATAGTCCTTAGCATCTGTGCACTCCACATACTCATTGAAGCGCAGAATCCGCCGAGCCACCAGCTCAGCTACTGTGGGCCTCACACTCAGCTAGACACACACACACACACACACACACACACACACACACACACACACACACACACACACACACACACACACACACACACACACACACACACACACACACACACACACACACACACACACACACACACACACACACACACAATAAGTAACCAGTGATTGACAACTGTAAATTGGGACTTCTAGACAAGACAGCTGGGGCATGGGAGAAGATGGATAGAGAGTTGTGGGTAAAGTTTAACTCCTTCCACAGAGCCATACAGGAGCAGTCTTGAAACTAGACTCCAGTTCTCATTATATCTGAGGTCAAGCCTCGTTGGCCTAACCCTGGCCAATCCCCTCTTCCCCCCCTGCCACCACAGGGAGCGAGCAATCTGAGGAATTTCAAGCAGCCTGATGCTACACTTTGAGGCATGCTGCTCACACAGAATTGGAATGCCCTACAGCATGGTTGCCCAACCCTGTTCCTGGAGAGCTACCCTCCTGTAGGTTTTTGCTCCAACCCCAGGTGTTACTAACCTGATTCATCTTATCAACCTTCTAATTATTAGAATCAGGTGTGCTAGATTAGGGTTGGAGCAAAAACCTACAGGACGGTAGCTCTCCAGGAACAGGGTTGGGCAGTCCTGCCCTACAGTATGCACAGTGGCAACAGTCATATGATTGCTGCATTTCAGCTTGTCAAAAAGTTAACTCATTCAACTAATTGACAAGGGACAAATGAGTTCGAAATGTCTTTGGTAATTCAGAAATCAAGACATTGTTCGGTAATTCAGTCTATATGAGTTCGACGTGTGTTTAGTTCCAGTTAATTCAGTTCCAGCTGTGTCCACCAGATGGATCTGTGTACCGCATATAATCAACACGAGTAATTACATTAGACATAAAAATCTATGAGATGCAGGCCAAGTATTGGTGTACATAAATAAAGTATAAATGACAGTACCTTTCGGGAGAGTCTCCTTTTAATCTCTTGTATGGCTTCATGTTTATCAGCCTCATTCGTCTCTGCAGTGAAATTGAAAATAAGTTATAAGTAGGCTAAGGTGGTACTTCACTACCTAATATAGTGATTATTAATTAAGCAATACGGTTAATGGAAATGATAAGGTGCTTATCTTTCCCATTGATTTTGGATCGTGCCATATGGCTGCATCTACAAAACAGATGGCCTGGGACATAGACTTATCTCAACAGAAGTCTGCTGTTGAGGTCTGAAAACATCTGACAAACTTTGATTTGGAGTTGTATTTTCTTAACCATACATAGTCAACTCTTTAAACCAGAGCACAGTGTAGACCTGTGTTCTATTCTTCAACAGGTAGTTGCTGAGTTGAGTGTGTGACAGATGTGTATAGAATCCCTGGGAGGCAGCGACCTTTGCCACTGGAAGCCTACTCATCTGCTTTCAATGAGGCAACAGTCGGTTAACTGCTCTCTCTCGCTCTTAGCCTCATGCATTATGATTCCACCACAAAGACCTCATACATAATGCAGTAAACACCCCAGCAAGATGACAACAACAAAATGGCCCCTTCTTTCACTGCTTCCTGTTTAATAGACAGGAAGTCTCCATGTGAACATTGACCGTATTACAGGAACATGTTTTAAGCCTGTTGATCAAATTGTACTCCTTTGATTTTTCTGTAAAGTGTGTTCCGATGCACTTTAGATGAAGTTTGACTTGATTAGAACAAAGTGTGCTAGCAGATAGAGAGAATGATCAGGTAAACATTAACACATTCCTATTGACTTTTATCATTACGTTCTCTGAGCCAAAAATGTAAAACATTGTCTGGCACAATAAGAGCTCAAGATGTTATCCTCTTCAAAATTAAAACATTTCACTGGTCATGCTCAATCTGGCGTAATATGTTTCACCAAATTGATTTACTAACCAATAAACTGGGCAAGCAGATGAGCCATTAGTCGATAACTGGCCTCCCTCCACATCAATGCACCATTAGACCTTGATGCACAGCTGTCCAAGCCAGAAGAACAACTTCACCTTTGTCTTGGATTCCAGCCGGGCTAATTCATTCACAAACACCATCTCCTTATGAAAACGTACCTAGTCTAGCATCAACCTTTGAAGAATGGGATAAAGTAATCAGCTTGTTTAGGTCATGTGGAACTGAACTATCTACACTGAACAAAAATATAAACGCAACATGTAAAAAAGTGTTGGTCCAATGTTTCATGAGCTGAAATAAAAGATCCCAGAAATGTTCCATATGCACAAATAGCTTATTTCTCTCAAGTTTTGGGCACAAATTTGTTTACATCCCTGTTAGTGAGCATTTCTCCTTTGCCAAGATAATCTATCCACTGACATGTGTGGCATATCAAGAAGCTGATTAAACAGCATGATCATGACACCAGTGCGCCTTGTGCTGGGGTATATTAAAAGGCCACTCTAAAATATGCAGTTTTGTCACACAACACAATGCCACAGATGTCTCAAGTTTTGAGGGAGTGTGCAATTGGCATGCCGACTGAAGAAAAGTCCATCAGAGCTGTTGCCAGATAATTGAATGTTCAATTCTCTACCATAAGCCTCATCCAACGTCATTTTAGAGAATTTGGCCTGAGAAACGCAGACCACATGTATGGCGTCGTGTGGGCGAGCGGTTTGCTGATGTCAACGTTGTGAAAAAAGTGCCCCATGGTGGCAGTGGAGCTATGGTATGGGCTGGCATAAGCTACGGACAACGAACACAATTGCATTTTATCTATGAAAATTTGAATGCACAGAGATACCGTGATGAAATCCTGTGGTCCATTGTCGTGACATTCATCCGCCGCCATCACCTCATGTTTCAGCATGTCCACGGCCCCATGTTGCAAGGATCTGTACACAATTCCTGGAAGCTGAACATTTCCCAGTTCTTCCATGGCCTGCATACTCACCAGACATGTCACCCATTGAGCATGTTTGGGATGCTCTGTATCGACGTGTAAGACAGAGTGTTTCAGTTCCTGCCAATATCCAGCAACTTTGCACAGCCATTGAAGAGGAGTGGGACAACATTCCACAGGCCAGAATCAACAGCCTGATCAACTATGCGAAGGAGAGCTGTCGCACTGCATGAGGCAAATGGTGGTCACACCAGATACTGACTAGTTTTCTGATCCACGCCCCTACTTTTAAAAAAAAAGGTATCTGTGACCAACAGATGTACAGTTGAAGTCGTAAGTTTACATACACTTCGGTTGGAGTCATTAAAACTAGTTTTTCAACCACTCCACAAAATGTCTTGTTAACAAACTATAGTTTTGGCAAGTCGGTTAGGACATCTACTTTGTGCATGACACAAGTAGTTTTTCCAACAATTGTTTACAGACAGATTATTTCAATAATAGTTCACTGTATCACAATTCCAGTGGGTCAGAAGTTTATATACACTAAGTTGACTGTGCCGTTAAACAGCTTGGAAAATTCCAGAAAAGGATGTCATGGCTTTAGAAGCTTCTGAGATGCTAATTGACATAATTTAAGTCAATTGGAGGTGTACCTGTGGATGTATTTCAAGGCCTACCTTCATACTCAGTGCCTTTGCTTGACATCATGGGAAAATCAAAAGAAATCAGCCAAGACCTCAGAAAAAAAAAAATTGTAGACCTCCACAAGTCTGATTCATAATTGGGAGCAATTTCCAAACGCCTGAAGGTACCACGTTCATCTGTACAAACAATAGTACACAAGTATAAACACCATGGGACCATGCAGCCGTCATACCGCTCAGGAAGGAGATGCGTTCTGTCTCCTAGCGATGAACGTACTTTGGTGCGAAAAGTGCAAATCAATCCCAGAACAACAGCAAAGGACCTTGTGAAGATGCTGGAGGAAACAGGTACAAAAGTATCTATATCCACAGTAAAACGAGTCCTATATCGACATAACCTGAAAGGCCGCTCAGCAAGGAAGAAGCCACTGCTCCAAAACAGCCATAAAACAGCCAGACTATGGTTTGCAACTGCACATGGGGACAAAGATCGTACTTTTTGGAGAAATGTCCTCTGGTCTGATGAAACAAAAATATAACTGTTTGGCCATAATGACCATCGTTATGTTTGGAGGAAAAGGGGGTATGCTTGCAAGCCGAAGAACACCATCCCAACCGTGAAGCACATTTTACATTTTAGTCATTTAGCAGACGCTCTTATCCAGAGCGACTTACAGTTAGTGAGTGCATACATCATTTTTTTATTTTTCATACTGGCCCCCCGTGGGAAACGAACCCACAACCCTTGCGTTGCAAACGCCATGCTCTACCAACATCCCTGCCGGCCATTCCCTCCCCTACCCTGGACGACGCTGGGCCAATTGTGCGCCGCCCCATGGGTCTCCCGGTCACCGGCCGGCTACGGGGTGGCAGCATCATGCTGTGGGGGTGCTTTGCTGCAGGAGGGACTGGTGCACTTCACAAAATAGATGGCATCATGAGGAAGGAACATTATGGATATATTGAAGCAACATCAAGACATCAGTCAGGAAGTTAAAGCTTGGTCACAAATGGGTCATCCAAATGGACAACTTATTGTGGGAAGCTTGTGGAAGGCTACCCGAAACGTTTGACCCAAGTTAAACAATTTAAAGGCAATGCTACCAAATACTAATTGAGTGTATGTAAACTTCTGACCCACTAGGAATGTGATGAAATAAATAAAAGCTGAAATAAATTTCTCTCTACTATTATTCTGACATTTCACATTCTTAAAATAAAGTGGTGATCCTAACTGACCTAAGACAGGGAATTTTTACTAGGATTAAATGTCAGGAATTGTGAAAAACTGAGTTTAAATGTATTTGGCTAAGGTGGATGTAAACTTCCGACTTCAACTGTATATCTGTATTCCAAGTCATGTGAAATCCATAGATTAGGGCCTAATGAAATTATTTCAATTGACTGATTTCCTTATATGAATTGTAACTCATGCAACCATTTCAAAGATTTGACTGTTGCATTTATATTTTTGTTCAGTATATAATCTGAAAAACACACATGACCAAAACCAGAAGACAAACAGACCTTGTGTGGGGGAAATGTCTTGTACAGTACTAAGGGGTTGTTGCGCTGCTGTGGTCTGACTGGGGACAATGTGGTGCAGTCTGTCTGTGGTGGCGTCTGTCTATTGTCACTCACGTTTCAGAATGTTCCTCTGCTCCAGTTCCTCAGTGCTGGGCCTCTGACTAAGTCGTCTGTGAGGGACAGAGGGAGAATGAAACGAGACAATACCTCAGTGCTTTGGGAACAGGGGTCAGTTCCCCAAAAGCTTTGTAGCACTAAGAACATCCTAAATCCCTTGGATGAAAGATGATTTCAGTGCTACCAAGTTCTCGGGAATCTCACACCAGAACAGTTATTTCAGATTAAATACAATCTTAAATACACACAAAGCGTGTGTTGGCGTGTGTGTGTGTGTGCATGACTCCATAGGTGTACTCCGTACCTCACTAGCTTGGAGTGAATCTGCTGCCGGAGTTCCTGCCTCTCGGTCTCAGATGTGCGAGGCAGGATGTTCTTCTCCTCCAGCTCTCTCTTGCTGGGCCGATTGCCCAGTTTGATGGCCAGGGTGTCCCTGCGGCGGATCTTACTGGCTAGGGAGCCTACAAAACCAATAATAATAATGAAAATCTAGCTAGCCCTCCCCCAGCCTACGCCATGCAGGCTGAATCCAGAGAGTATTAAAATGGTCTGAGTCAGAGGACAAGAGTACGGCTTTATAGGAATGCGTGCTGTGCAGTAAAGATAAAATATAAGTCAAGAAGTAAATATAAAACCAACCATAAAGAGTGTGGAAACACAATAAAGTGAGATTGTTTTCAAGGTTATTTTCCTTGTTTCTAGTGCACGAGTGGCTACGGATGAATTTGTTGCAAGGGCTGGACAGACAAAGACATTTAACACATGCTGACTGACTGACTTAAAAGGCTAGAATACAATTAGCTGTATGCTTCTATATCTGCGACGGATTCCTTACTTGTGGTATACTCGTCCTCCTCATCCTCATCTTCGTCTCGGTAGAGGATGGGCCCATCTGAGTCGGAGTCGCTGACTGTAGACTGGTAGTCAGACTCCATAGTGCTGTCTGGGATGACTGTAACCTCTGGGCTCTCCAGGTTAACACTGTGGAGCTTCTTCTCTCCAATCCCATTGGTAGGCCTGGAGTCACATCATCAAAACCCTGATTAAGCATTCTTACCTGATTGATTTTCTTGTCTTTTGATTTATTTATCATGTCCATTGTTGTCCTTGTTGCATAATGGAAAACGTTGATAAACAAACTCTAATTACATTTTAGTCATTTAGCAGATGCTCTTATCCAGAGCGACTTACAGTTAGTGAGTGCATACACTTTCCTACTAATGAAGGGTGTATAGACCAAAACGCTGGTGAAAACAGGCCTTTTCTTTCCCAACGGTCTTTTCCACATGAACCTGGTATCATGAAAGTCATGTGAACTATCATATTTCTAATTGGTTTAAGGCCTACAACACAGACAGGGCTCTGTGACTTACTGTCCCAATTCAAGTTAAACCAGTTCAGCTCAAGGCTATGACGGCCATTTATGACATCTATGCTGACTCAGACGTGTGTGTGTGTGTGTGTGTGTGTGTGTGTGTGTGTGTGTGTGTGTGTGTGTGTGTGTGTGTGTGTGTGAGAGAGACAACCATTTACCACACCACCAATGTTTAAATAGAGGGCTAAAATAGGTTACTCCCTATTACACCGCAGCCATTATGAATTATGACAATACTGTATCCAGGTAGCGGTAAATGGTAAACTAGGCTGCTTATGCTGCTAAAATATTTACAGCATTTTCTGGGCTTTGAACTGAAGCTGTGGTGCCGTTCATCATCAGAACAGTACTTTGGCAATGAGGAGCCATCTACAAATACAGCACATACAGTGGGGAGAACAAGCATTTGATACACTGCCGATTTTGCAGGTTTTCCTACTTACAAAGCATGTAGAGGTCTGTAATTTTTATCATAGGTACACTTCAACTGTGAGAGACGGAATCTAAAACAAAAATCCAGAAAATCACATTGTATTATTTTTAAGTAATTAATTTGCATTTTATTGCATGACATAAGTATTTGATCACCTACCAACCAGTAAGAATTCCGGCTCTCACAGACCTGTTAGTTTTTCTTTAAGAAGCCCTCCTGTTCTCCACTCATTACCTGTATTAACTGCACCTGTTTGAACTCGTTACCTGTATAAAAGACACCTGTCCACACACTCAATCAAACAGACTCCGACCTCTCCACAATGGCCAAGACCAGAGAGCTGTGTAAGAACATCAGGGATAAAATTGTAGACCTGCACAAGGCTGGGATGGGCTACAGGACAATAGGCAAGCAGCTTGGTGAGAAGGCAACAACTGTTGGCGCAATTATTAGAAAATGGAAGAAGTTCAAGATGACGGTCAATCACCCTCGGTCTGGGGCTCCATGCAAGATCTCACTTTGTGGGGCATCAATGATCATGAGGAAGGTGAGGGATCAGCCCAGAACTACAAGGCAGGACCTGGTCAATGACCTGAAGAGAGCTGGGACCACAGTCTCAAAGAAAACCATTAGTAACACACTACACCGTCATGGATTAAAATCCTGCAGCGCACGCAAGGTCCCCCTGCTCAAGCCAGCGCATGTCCAGGCCCGTCAAGAACACCATCCCAACCGTGAAGCATGGAGGTGGAAACATCATTCTTTGGGGATGCTTTTCTGCAAAGGGGACAGGACGACTGCACTGTATTGAGGGGAGGATGGATGGGGCCATGTATCGCGAGATCTTGGCCAACAACCTCCTTCCCTCAGTAAGAGCATTTTTTATTTTTTTTTATTTCACCTTTATTTAACCAGGTAAGCCAGTTGAGAACAGGTTCTCATTTACAACTGCGACCTGGCCAAGACAAAGCAAAGTAGTGCAACAAAAACAACACAGAGTTACATATGGGGTAAAAAAAAACATAAAGTCAGAAATACAACAGAAAATATATATACAGTGTGTGCAAATGTAGCAAGTTATGGAGGTAAGGCAATAAATAGGCTATAGTGCAGAATAATTACAATAGTATTAACACTGGAATGCTAGATGTGCAAGAGATTATGTGCAAATAGAGATACTGGGGTGCAAAAGAGCAAATTAAATAACAATATAGGGATGAGGTAGTTGGGTGGGCTAATTTCAGATGGGCTGTGTACAGGTGCAGTGATCGGTAAGGTGCTCTGACAACTGATGCTTAAAGTTATTGAGGGAGATAAGAGTCTCCAGCTTCAGAGATTTTTGCAATTCGTTCCAGTCATTGGCAGCAGAGAACTGGAAGGAATGGCGGCCAAAGGAGGTGTTGGCTTTGGGAATGACCAGTGAGATATACCTGCTGGAGCGCAGACTACGGGTGGGTGCTGCTATGGTGACCAATGAGCTAAGATAAGGCGGGGATTTGCCTAGCAGTGATCTATAGATGGCCTGGAGCCAGTGGGTTTGACGACGAACATGTAGTGAGGACCAGCCAACAAGAGCGTACAGGTCACAGTGGTGGGTAGTGTATGGGGCTTTGGAGACAAAACGGATGGCACTGTGATAGACTACATCCAATTTGCTGAGTAGAGTGTTGGAGGCTATTTTATAAATGACATCGCCGAAGTCAAGGATCGGTAGGATAGTCAGTTTTACGAGGGCATGTTTGGCAGCATGAGTGAAGGAGGCTTTGTTGCGAAATAGGAAGCCGATTCTAGATTTAACTTTGGATTGGAGATTCTTTATGTGAGTCTGGAAGTTGAGTTTACAGTCTAACCAGACACCTAGATATTTGTAGTTGTCCACATACTCTAGGTCAGACCCGTCAAGAGTGGTGATTCTAGTCGGGTGGGCGGGTGCTAGCAGCGTTCGATTGAAAAGCATGCATTTAGTTTTACTAGTGTTTAAGAGCAGTTGAAGGCTACTGAAGGATTGTTGTATTTGAAGATGGGTCCCATTTGAAGATGGGACCCATTTGAAGATGGGTCGTGGCTGGGTCTTCCAGCATGACAACGACCCGAAACACACAGCCAGGGCAACTAAGGAGTGGCTCCGTAAGAAGCATCTCAAGGTCCTGGAGTGGCCTAGCCAGTCTCCAGACCTGAACCCAATAGAAAATCTTTGGAGGGAGCTGAAAGTCCGTATTTCCCAGCGACAGCCCCGAAACCTGAAGGATCTGGAGAAGGTCTGTATGGAGGAGTGGGCCAAAATCCCTTCTGCAGTGTGTGCAAACCTGGTCAAGACCTACAGGAAACGTATGATCTCTAATTGCAAACAAAGGTTTCTGTACCAAATATTAAGTTCTGCTTTTCTGATGTATCAAATACTTATGTCATGCAATAAAATGCAAATTAATTACTTAAAAATCATACAATGTGATTTTCTGGATTTTTGTTTTAGAGTCCGTCTCTCACAGTTGAAGTGTACCTATGATAAATATTACAGACCTCTACATGCTTTGTAAGTAGGAAAACCTGCAACATTGGCAGTGTATCAAATACTTGTTCTCCCCACTGTATGTGAAGGTTGAAAACTAAGAAACAACAGCTTTAAGAATGCATACTGTGAGTAGTAGTGACTATAAGGTAGAGTACTGTACATTTATAGACTTTGACTTTTGGGTTGACCTTACTGTTGAACACATGAGCAAGTGCAATGCCCCTGGGAAATAATCCATCTTCTCTGGGAGAATAAGTGTACCAGTAAAGCAAAACAATACAGTACAAATCTCTCATAGTTATGTTCCCACACAGGATAGCTTTTTACACTCCTCTGCCATCTTTTGCAGTACTGTATGACTCCCAATGTTAACCATCTCAAATGCAAAACACTGACAATGACGAACAATGTTGCCACATCATGTAATACAGTTGAAACGTTTCGATCCATTTACACGTGCAGTAAGAATTACACCATGCCTTCAATGGAGTTTTCTAAAGCATACTGTACTATTTTGGGAATCATGATTGCGGTAAAGAGCTTTCCAACCAATGCCACCAGGTTTCATTCTAAAGTTTCATAAGAGCAATTATGATGTAAGACGGCATTTTATTTTCTTCAGTTAGGAGGAGATGTTTAATGCCAACCTGGGTCAAACAACTAATTTCAAATACTTGAAATGCACTTGATTTAATTGGCCTGGTTCAATGGAACGGTCCCAAAAGTGCAGGATTCAAGCTACATCAAGTGTACCTCAAATATCTTAAATACTTGAAAGTGTGTTTGACCAGGGTCTTCTTATAGGGTTTTTCTGCACTAGAAGCCTATAGATCTGTGTTGCAGTATCGATACATACCACTGACATTTCTCTAACTCATGGTCTGCATCCCCCGACTGTTGCCCACGGTCACCACCTCCATCTTCCCCAGTCCCCAGGGCTTCCTCCGTGGAGCTCTCGCTATGAGACTCGGTGAAGAAAGTGTCCTCAGTGGCGTTGTTGACCAGAGGGGCCTTCTCCCCAGGGTCCTGAGGACTGGCTCCTGAGGCATTGTCTTTATCCATTCCAGTCAGAGAGGAGTCATTCTGAGCAGCAGGCTTGACCTCTGGGCCAGAATAGGGCTCCTCCTTGCACCCCTGGTTCCCATGCCCATCCCCAGGGCCCGGGACCCGTCTCTCCCCAGAAAGGCTGTCTGTCTCTGGGGAGGCCTTGGGAGCTCCAGAGAAGCTGGAAGGGTCAGGTGCTGGTTGGAGGACGCGCTTGTTGGTCTTTTCTGTCCCAGTTGGGTTGGAAAGCCTGTCCTGGGAGGTCTTTGTGGTACGCAGTGTGGACGATGAGGAGGATGAGGACTGGGCTGTGCTCTTGGATGTGCCTCCAGTTTTCTTAGGATGAGAGGATTTGGCTAAGAGGAGAGGAAACTTCATTCGATTTATGTTAAACACAACAGCAAAAACGGGCATATGTCCTGTAGCATTTTATGCGCTTTTGTTAGTGCCTTCATTTCAAATGACCTGCCCAGGCACTACAGACAAACGTGAGCCTTTTGTCTAAGTCTGACACATTAACAGTCAATGACGCATTGTCCCTGACAGAAAACATTTATTAGTTCTATAGAATGTTGGGGTCATGTGACAGAATAAGAGGAGTATAATAATAATAATAATAATAATTTGGTGGGTGCTTATATTTGTCCTATTTCACACATGTACAAGTGTGTATTATAAGCATTCGTTTTTTTGCATTTCCCAACTCTCCCTGTGACACCTTCGGAGAGTGGGGTCATGGCCAGGGTCTAACAGTAAAATGTTATTAGTGGCTGTGAAAGAGGTCGTATTGTGGATAAGCCATTTGGCAAATATACAAAAGCTATTCAAAACCAAATAAACTACTGACACTGAAAAAGAGAACAATGTGCACTCAAAATGATTATAGGCAGAGGATAACAATGGATATTAAACAGAAACAGAAATATCAAGAGCCCAAAATCTGGCAATTCTTCAAAGAAACTCATAAAATACCAAGTTAGGCATGCCCATCACATGCAACACAATTGGCCCTGGGTAGCATAGTTTACTCCAGTGGGGTCAAACAAGTCACGTGCACAGACGCTGGTGCACACACAGACACGAGACATGGCCACACCTCCCTGGGAAACCAAACGATCCATGAACCAGATCATCATGCACCAAAGACAAAAAAAGCAAGGGTTCTCAGAAACCCTCGGAGGCAGGCAGGCAGGGGAACACAGATGGGACACACAGTACACAGTGCATCTTATTGTAGTGCTATGCTGTCTAAAAATTGAGAAGTCTCTGCAGGCAACTCTCTGTACACACTCTCCTCACTTCCCATTTCACAACAAGAACAATCAAACTTCTCAACTACTGTAAATCCCTAGCCGTCTAGTATGGACAACACCATTAATTCCTGAAGGGGGACCAGGAGGGATGGACTGATGGGCGGAGGGAGGCCTTCCACATGCGAAAACAGGTACATTCTCCATGCCAACAGGGTTCTCTCTCCCAACCAACCAGTGCCACTGATACTCACCGTTCCCAATGTAATTGTTTCGAGGGTTTTGTTTGGGCGGCGGAGCGGAAGCTTGCTTGGCTGTGCTTTTGGGCAGCTTTTTACCAGCCGCAGTCCCGTCCCTGCGCCCTGCTGTAGCCCCACCAGTTGATTTGAGAGGAGCGGTGGTGGTGGGGTGTTTTTTAGCCTCCCGCGTTCTGGCCTGGTTTCCTTTTGGAGTATCTTTGCTTTCATTCCTCACTAAGGGGGGGTAGAGGAGAGGGGAGCAGAACAACCTCTCCTGTAATTTACCAAAATCCAGAGGGAGGGACTCAGGGAGAGACAAACACAAGGGTAATGGATAGGAAGGCTTACGTCTGATCAGGGGAAAGAAGAGACCATGAAGAAAAATGTGTCTAGCTAATAATCGTAAAAGTGGGGAACGTAAAGTGGCTGCATTCCGTGCATATCCAAGGTATGAAGCGAAGTGATATGACCTGACCTCCAACCTAATGTGTATTATAGTGATGGGGGGGGGAAGAAAATCGATACAGTTACATATCAGGATATTATTTTAGACGATATATATTATTGTTTTGACAATATCGCAATATTATTTATGTGCTAGTTGGCTATACTGGCACCAAAACTCCAGTATCTTGTTCACAATCTTCTTTTAGCACTATTTTTTCAGCACTTTTATTCAGACACATCTAGCCACTGGGATTTTTGCCCATTCTTCAAGGCAAAACTGCTCCAGCTCCTTCAAGTTGGATGGGTTCTGCTGGTGTACAGCAATCTTTAAGTCGCACCAGAGATTCTCAATTGGATTGAGGTCTGGGCTTTGAGTAGGCCATTCCAAGACATTTAAAATGTTTCCCCTTAAAACACTCGAGTGTTGCTTTAGCAGTATGCTTAGGGTCATTGTCCTGCTGGAAGGTGAACCTCCGTCCCAGTCTCAAATCTCTGGAAGACTGAAACAGGTTTCCCTCAAGAATTTCCCTGTATTTAGCGCCATCCATAATTTCTTCAATTCTGACCAGTCCCTGCAGATGAAAAACATCCCCACAGCATGATGCTGTCACCACCATGCTTCACTGTGGGGATGGTGTTCTCGGGGTGATGAGAGGTGTTGGGTTTTCGCCAGACATAGCGATTTCCTTGATGGCCAAAAAGCTCAATTTTAGTCTCATCTGACCAGAGTACCTTCTTCCATATGTTTGGGGAGTCTCCCACATGCCTTTTGGCGAACACCAAACGTGTTTGCTTATTTTTTTCTTTAAGCAATGGCTTTTATCTGGCCACTCTTCCGTAAAGCCCAGCTCTGTGGAGTGTACGGCTTAAAGTGGTCCTATGGACAGATACTCCAATCTCTGCTGTGGAGCGTTGCAGCTCCTTCAGGGTTATCTTTGGTCTCTTTGTTGCCTCTCTGATTAATGCTCTCCTTGCCTGGTCCGTGAGTTTTGGTGGGCAGCCCTCTCTTGGCAGGTTTGTTGTGGTGCCATATTCTTTCCATTTTTTAATAATGGATTTAATGGTGCTCCGTGGGATGTTCAAAGTTTCGGATATTTTTTTATAACCCAACCCTGATCTGTACTTCTCCACAACTTTGTCCCTGACCTGTTTGGAGAGCTCCTTGGTCTTCATGGTGCCGCTTGCTTGGTGGTGCCCCTTGCTTAGTGGTGTTGCAGACTCTGGGGCCTTTCAGAACAGGTGTATACATACTGATATCATGTGACAGATCATGTGACACTTAAATAAAGTCCAACTGTGTGCAATCTAACTAATTATGTGACTTCTGAAGGTAATTGGTTGCACCAGATCTTTTTTAGGGGCTTCATAGCAAAGGGGGCGAATACATATGCACGCACCACTTTTCCGTTATTTATTTTTTAGAATTTTTTGAAACAAGTTATTTTTTTAATTCCACTTCACCCATTTGGACTATTATGTGTATGTCCATTACATGAAATCCAAATAAAAATCTATTTAAATTACAGGTTGTAATGCAACAAAATAGGAAAAACGCCAAGGGGGATTAATATTTTCGCAAGGCACTGTTTATACAGCACCAGTCAAAAGTGTGGACACACCTACTCATTCAAGGGTTTTTCTTTATTTGTACTATTTTCTACATTGTAGAATAATAGTGAAGACATCAAAACTATGAAATAACACATATGGAATCATGATTCTTCAAAGTAGCCACCCTTTGCCTTAAATGAGAGCTTTGCACACTCTTGGCATTCTCTCAACCAGCTTCATGAGGTAGTCACCTGGAATGCATTTCAATTAACAGGTGTGCCTTCTTAAAAGTTAATTTGTGGAATTTCTTAAATTCCAAAGAAAAAGCCATATCTCAGACTGCCCATATTAATCATTTATTTTTATTGGCCAGTCTGAGATATGGCTTTTTCTTTGTAACTCTGCCTAGAAGGTCAGCATCCCGGAGTCGCCTCTTCACTGTTGACATTGAGACTGGTGTTTTGCGGGTACTATTTAATGAAGCTGCCAGTTGAGGACCTGTGAGGCTTCTGTTTCTCAAACTAGACACTAATGTATTTGTCCTCTTGCTCAGTTGTGCACCAGGGCCTCCCACTCCTCTTTCTATTCTGGTTAAAGCCAGTTTGCGCTGTTCTGTGAAGGGAGTAGTACACAGCGTTGTACGAGATCTTCAGTTTCTTGGCAATTTCTCACATGGAATAGCCTTCATTTCTCAGAACAAGAATAGACTGACGAGATTCAGAAGAAAGTTATTTGTTTCTGGCCATTTTGAGCCTGTAATCGAACCCACAATTACTGATGCTCCAGATACTCAACTAGTCTCAAGAAGGCCAGTTGTATTGCTTCTTTAATCAGCACAACAGTTTTCAGCTGTGCTAACATAATTGCAAAAGGGTTTTCTAATGATCAATTAGCCTTTGAAAATGATAAACTTGGATTAGCAAACACAACGTGCCATTGGAACACAGGACTGAAGGTTGCTGATAAATGGGCCTCTGTAGCCTATGTAGATATTCCATAAAGAAATCAGCCGTTTCCAGCTACAGTAGCCATTTACAACATTAATAATGTCTACACTGTATTTCTGATCAATTTGATGTTATTTTAAATGGACAAAAAAAAAGGACATTTCTAAGTGACCCCAAACTTTTGCACGTAGTGTATATATATATATATATATATATATATATATATATATATATATATATATATATATATATATATATATATATATATATATATATATATATATATATATATATATATATATATATATATATATATATATATATATATATATATATACACATATACACACACACACATATACATACACACACACACATACATACATACATACATACTCAGCAAAAAAATATAATTCGTAAAAATCCAAATAACTTCACAGATCTTCGTTGTAAAGGGTTTAAACACTGTTTCCCATGCTTGTTCAATGAACCATAAACAATTAAATGAACATGCACCTGTGGAACGGTCATTAAGACACTAACAGCTTACAGACGGTAGGCAATTAAGGTCACAGTTATGAAAACTTAGGACACTAAAGAGGCCTTTCTACTGACTCTGAAAAACACCAAAAGAAAGATGCCCAGGGTCCCTGCTCATCTGCGTGAACGTGCCTTAGGAAGCATGAGGAGGAAGCATGAGGACTGCAGATGTGGCCAGGGCATTAAATTGCAATGTCCGTACTGTGAGACGCCTAAGACAGTACTACAGGGAGACAGGACGGACAGCTGATCATCCTCGCAGTGGCAGAACACATGTAACAACACCTGCACAGGATCAGTACATCCGAATATCACACCTGCGGGACAGGTACAGGATGGCAACAACAACTGCCCGAGTTACATCAGGAACACACAAGCCCTCCATCAGTGCTCAGACTATCCGCAATAGGCTGAGAGAGGCTGGACTGAGGGCTTGTAGGCCTGTTGTAAGGCAGGTCCTCACCAGACATCACCGGCAACAACGTCGCCTATGGGCACAAACCCACCGTCGCTGGACCAGACAGGACTGGCAAAAGGTGCTCTTCACTGACGAGTCGCGGTTTTGTCTCACCGGGGTGATGGTCGGATTCGCGTTTATCGTCGAAGGAATGAGCGTTACACCAAGGCCTGTACTCTGGAGCGGGATCGATTTTGGAGGTGGAGGGTCTGTCATGGTCTGGGGCGGTGTGTCACAGCATCATCGGACTGAGCTTGTTGTCATTGCAGGCAATCTCAATCTCAACGCTGTGCGTTACAGGGAAGACATCCTCCTCCCTCATGTGGTACCCTTCCTGCAGGCTCATCCTGACATTACACACCAGCATGACAATGCCACCAGCCATACTGCTTGTTCTGTGCGTGATTTCCTGCAAGACAGGAATATCAGTGTTCTGCCATGACCAGCGAAGAACCCGGATCTCAATCCCATTGAGCACGTCTTGGACCTGTTGGATCGGTGGGTGAGGGCTAGGGCCATTCCCCCCCAGAAATGTCAGGGAACTGGCAGGTGCCTTGGTGGAAGAGTGGGGTAACATCTCACAGCAAGAACTGACAAATCTGGTGCAGTCCATGAGGAGGAGATGCACTGCAGTACTTAATGCAGCTGGTGGCCACACCAGATACTGACTGTTACTTTTCATTTTGACGCCCCCTTTGTTCAGGGACACATTATTCCATTTCTGTGGAACTTGTTCAGTTTATGTCTCAGTTGTTGAATCTTGTTATGTTCATACAAATATTTACACATGTTAAGTTTGCTGAAAATAAACACAGTTGACAGTGAGAGGACGTTTCTTTTTTTGTTGAGTATATATATATATATATATATATATATATATATATATATATATATATATATATATATATATATATATAGTGTGTGTGTGTGTATATATATATATATATACACACACACACAAAATGTATGTATGTATGTACTGTATCCATCCATCTCTGAGGGGTTGGGGAAAAAAGCAGAAGACAAATGTCCATCTAGTATGGACTAATAAAGTATATTTTATTGAGTCATTATAGTATGATTTCTCTTCACATTCCTCTCATCTGAGCTATCACGACCAAGCTCATGATGCCTTCAATAAAGCAACACATTATTGCCAGGCAGAGCCCTCAGTGCCCGGGTACTGTAGATGAGGCATTGTCTGGGTATCTGCCCTGACAGGGCGCCAAATGGCTCCATAATGAACTGAGGCCTCATTTCAATCAGTCTTCCTGACCCGCACTGACCAGCTGAACCACTCTGTATGTGTTGTTGGAGAGAGATCTAGCTGGTCATCCCAGTTTGTCTTTGGTCTTAAGTGGGGAGCAGTTGAGTGGCTTACTATTGATCTGAAGAGGCCAGAGCTCTGGCTCCAGTGGTTCAATAGAGGCCCACATTGTTATGGTCAGTAGAGTAGAGGGCCTTTGATCACTGCAGAAGTTACAGCTTCCTTTGATCTGCATGGCTTAAGAATAGGGGATTTCTGCTCTTTCGTTTCTCTATCGGACTGTCAAGGGGATTTAACATAGGTGTTTCTGGATACATTCTGTTGGAGTGTGCAGCATTGTGCTTATCGGTCAGGGGCTTCTGCTAAAAGATCAACAGCGATGGAGACGTGTTAATGGATATGGGATGGAAAAATTGAATTGAGGAACCCCCACAACACTTTAAAAGCTTCAGATGGCAATACTCCTGCAGGTCTAAAATGGTGATATTGACCATTAGTGGATGGGTTATTGCTCTGTCCAGACTCCTGCTTGGAGGTCAAAGCCAAAATAGGAAGCGCTAGTGGACACATTATTCAATTGGAGCTCACCGAATGGATTTACACCATGCCATTTCATTTCGCTTTGGCCTGCTTGCAGACAAACGTGTTAAAAGCATTCCAGTATACCTGCTTTGTCCTCAGCATTCTCCGACCCTTCTGTCTTCTCCTCCGAAGGCGTTTGCGTCGACTCTATGTCAACTTTGACCTCATCTGACCCCACACTAGGCGTGGCATGGCCATTTAGATTCTCAGAGTTCACTGGCTCCTCTGGTGCAAATGAAACATTTAAGAGTTAGCAGGGGGTGAGAATGGGGCACATTTTATCTGACATTACCTGACATTTAACTGAAAGCTATTTTACTACATCCACTAATTATACAGTACACACAAGGAATGTAAGAAGAAAGGAGGCTTCCATCTTGAGACATTTCCCATCAGCTTAGGTCCCCATAAGAACAAAATTAAATGTGTCTTCATTGATGCAGAATTTAGGTATTGTTACATTGGAGTGTAACAATGCAGGGGTGGGGACTACAGTACAGTGTACCAGGAGGACACAAACAACTTAGATGGGACTGCAGTTTGGGTTTCTTCCCCATCGTAGCAACAGCTAACATCAGGGAGTATCCCGCTGGTTATAAAAACACTATTAAACTTGTTGCTGCAGGTACATTTCTTAAACACTAGTCTAGGGCAGCAGCTCCTGTGAGAGCGTTTTTTGGCATCACAATGCCACAGAGGGAAACCAGGGTTTGGGGTGGGACTTCTGCTCAATACAATTTAAGGCCTAAAATAAACAAAAATGGAACACTCAGCACACTGTTAGATTTCATTAATTTTCCCGCCGTAACTCACCTTGATCGGGAATGAGAACGCCTCGTCTTATCAGCTCCTCTCGACTTTGCCTCGTGGATATTTTCCTCTCCAGAACTACGGATATGAGCAAGGCAGAGTTATTAATCATTGACCAGATACAGTCATTAATTATGTGCCCTTTGCAATGACAGGGGAGGACACACACACACACACACAAACACAGAATACAAATCAGGGATTAAATAAAAGTACAGGAACAATTCCACAGAGGAATCAATGAGAACAGGCCATGTGAAAGATGGACAGCTTAGGGGCATGGAGCTGTGATGCAGTAGAGGGAAAGTAGCATTAAATATGTAAATGATGATCCTTCTAAGGCTTTATGGAACTCCTATTCTCTATCATTAATAGTACTTGCATGACAATCCCACAGTGAACTGTTACACGAGCCTTGAGGAGAGATTGTGGTGAAGAGAACGGATTAGTACTAACTAGAGGCTGTCCAAGGTGAGATAAAAAGGAGTAAACTGCATAGGACTAATACAATACCTGGTATGACTAGGGCTGTGGAGGTCATGACATTTTGTCAGCCGGTATTGTCATGCAAATCAATCAAATGTATTTATAAAGCCCTTTTAACATCAGCAGATGTCACAAAGTGCTATATAGAAACCCAGCCTAAAACCCCAAACAGCAAGCAATGCAGATGTAGAAGCACGGTGCCTGCCGGTCTCATGGTAATTGACCTCAAATTAACATAAAACACATTTAGCATCTCCAGGCCTCCACGCATAGGCCTACAAGCTGCTGATGCGCGTCTTTGGAACATCTACATTTTAAAAAATTAGAATAAATGACAATAAATCCATTATTGTAAGCAGGTCTAAAGAAAAATTATGATATGAAGAAAATGTATTTCAGAAGAACAGAATATGAGTTGGCCTACTGTATGTTATCTGGCTATGCTCCATGCCATAGGCTGTAGGCTAGTTCATTTAGCAGACAATATATGCTTATAAATCCTGTGCCATTATTTTATATTATATGATTTTATAGTAAGAAGAATATAATTGAACTTAGCTGGATAAAATAGAAAATATATATATGAGTGAGCATATGAAGTGGCTATGTTGAGTGATAATTTGAAACAGGTCCTATATGCTAGAGTTATTTGGCAACTTTAGTTGTGAATAATACAAACCTTAGAATGTCTTAGAAATCAAAACATACATGGGACTGCATGATGCGACTACAGGCTATTGAAGATTTGAGAAAGTCACAAAATAAAGCTTGCACTCTGTTCCTTGCCTCAGGCTGCACACACTCTGTGATGGGTGACCATATTTTCACCCATCACAATATTCTCAATTTAATATTGTCTTTATTAATATGTCAAATTTGTTTCGATTTAGAATTACACATTATAAAATGGGCAGGAACAGGGGCAGGGGAAAAAAGACATGTCATCCATATGAACTCGAATAGTGAATGGAGGCCGCTTTCCCGCAGATTGTTTTTCAATCATGCAGGGTAGGCTACACCGGTTTTATAATGGAGCATGTGCTTAATATGAGAAGCTGAGAAATAAATATAGTAGCAGCTGGGATCCTCCTCTTTTTAGTGGCAACAATCAAAACTCTGCTTTCACACTGGATTGCATATAGAAAGGTCTGGGCTCATAGTAACACTTATTTCACTCCACGCACTGTTTGAGGAGCAGCCTCTCGCTGCGCGACAGGTGATATTCCGCCCAAACTCTGTATGCCATGGGCTCTCCAACCCTGTTCCTGCAGCTACTCTGTGCTTAATTTGGGAAACCAAGTAAAATCTGTTAGGGAACATCGATAGTAACTTGTTTTCGCAACAAAACATATTCCATAAAACTATTGAGAGAGAAACGCACTGTGGTAAGATATTCTGTAGCTAGATGTCACGTCTCCTCCTGTCGCACAATTGGCCCAGCGTCATCTGGGTTTGGCCGGTGTAGGCCGTCATTGTAAATAAGAATTTGTTCTTAACTGACTTATAAAATAAAATAAAAATATAAATATAGCCCTGGACTGTTCAGTGTTGTGTTGTGTGTGATTGTTAGTGTCTTGTCGTGCACTTGTTGTTCTCTTGCTCAGTGTTAAGTAAACCTTTACATTGTTGATTCCTGCGTCTGCGTCCTGCCTCTTCGTATCCTCAGTACTCGTCACAGAATCACACACCAATCACGAAGATGGATGCAGCAGGTAATCCTCCTGGAGTTTCCCAGTGCCTCGACCAGCACCAGCAGCAGATTGCCCAGCTGAACGCTGCCATGCAGGAAGTGCTCCTAACCTCAGGGAGCGGTGAATGCACCCAGTCCACCTCCTCCCATGCTATCACCAACGTCTAAGGGACCCATCGCGCTGCCGGAGTGCTATGATGGGAAAACAACGAAATGTAGAGGCTTCCTGCTACAGGTTTCACTGCATCTGGTGCGTCAGCGTGGGGCATCTCCATCGGACCAAGCCAGGATAGCGCTGGTGATTTCGCTACTGAAGGGAAAGGCGCTGGATTGGGCCACGGCAGTCTGGGAAGGAGGTGAGGCCGCAACACTTCCCTTCTCCACCTTCCTCGCTTGGTTCAGGGTGGTGTTTGATCATCCCACGGAGGGAAAGGACGGGGGTGAGCGTCTCCTCCGGCTACAACAGGGAGAGGGGGCCGCGTTCGAGTACGCCCTGAGCTTTAGCACTGTGGCAGCGTCTTCCGGCTGGAATGAGCGTGCTCTGCACACAGCCTTCACGAGAGACTTACGGGAGGACATCACGATGGAACTCGCATGTCGGGACGACGAGATGGACCTTGACACCCTCATTGCCACGTCCATTCGTCTTGACGACATGTTGAGAGACTGACGGCGTTCCCAACACCTCCCGGAGCCTCGACGCTCACCCCATCTGAGCTATGGAAGCCGCCCTGCCTCCGAGTCCTCACCCATGGAGGTGGGCAGCACCCCCTACACCACCAAGGACCACAGATCTCCTGGCGGCTCCTTATCTAGGCGGTATGACTCCCGTCGCCACTCCGTGAATGTTCCTTCATCACCTGTCACCAATCCATTGTTTTTAGTTCCCCTAACGGTGAATGGTTCTTCCTTCTCTTAACTTTCCACGGCAATGATAGATTCCGGATCAGCGGGGAACCTTATAGATAGGGAGCTGGTCTTTGAATGGGGGTTTCCCACCGTGCCACTGCCTTCTCCGCTACACGTCACCTCGCTGGAAAATAAACCAATTGGATCAGGCACCATTACGCACGTCACTCTCCCCATCACCATTCCCACACTACCGGAGCACCACGAGGAGCTGTCCTTCCACATCGTCACATAACCCTTCACCAGATAGTCTTGGAATTGTCCTGGCTCAGACTACACAACCCCACCATCAATTGGATCACCAAGAGGATCACATCTTGGTCCCCCTCATGCAGGAGGACCTGCCTGCCGGTGGTTTGTTGTTTGGAGTCCGCCCAGCCCAACATTCCACGTGAGAACACAGATCTCTCCAATGTCTTCTCTGCCTCCAAGGCTATGTGTCTCCCTCCTCACAGGCCCTTGGACTGCACCATTGACCTGCTGGAGGGACAACACCCCCAGAAGAGTCGCATTTACTCCCTCTCCATAGCGGAGACTGAGGCCATGGAGAAGTATGTGGCGGAGACCCTGAAACAGGGGTTCATCAGACGCTCTACCTCTCCTGCCTCCGCCAGCTTCTTCTTCCTGGCCAAAAATGACGGAGGACTGAGGCCGTGCATTGACTACCGGGGGCTGAACGCAGTCTCCACCAAGTACCGGTACCCCCTCCCTCTGGTTCCGTCGGCCAGCAGCTGCGAGGGGCCCGGTATTTTACCAAATTGGACCTGAGGAGTGCCTACAACCTGATCCGAATCTGGGAAGGAGACGAGTGGAAGACGGCATTCAGCACTACCTCAGGCCACTATGAATACTGCGTCATGCCCTACGGCCTCGCCAACGCACCTTCCATGTTCCAGTCCTTCGCCAATGACGTGTTCCGAGACATGCTGACAGGTGGTGGTGTACTTCGACAATATCCTGATCTGCTCGGCTACGTTCGAGGAGCACGTCAGGGACGTCAGAGCGGTCCTACTCCGCCTCCGGGAACACAGCCTGTTGGTGAAGGGGGAGAAATGTGAATTCCAACAACAGGCCATCTCCTTCCAGGGACACAGGATCAGTCCTCAGGGGGTGTTCATGGAAAGAGCGAAGACGGACGACGTCAGGTCATGGCCAGTCCCCACCACCATCAAGGGCCTACAGAGCTTCCTGGGCTTCGCAAATTTCTACCGGCTTTTCATCAGGTCCTTCAGCTCCATAGCCACCCGCTCACCTTTCTCCTTAAGGGGGGGCCTCAGAAGCTGGCCTGGAACCCTGAGGCTGACGCTACCTTCAAGAGGCTGAAGGAGAGGTTCGCCACAGCGCCCCTCCTAAAACACCCAGATCCAGCTCGTCCTTTCATCCTGGAGGTGGATGCATCTGAGGAGGGCGTGGGTGGCGTCCCCTCCCCCAGCTGCAAGGTAAGCCAGAGAAAATGTATCACTGTGCCTTTTACTCTAAAAAGCTTACCGCGGCAGAGAGGGACTATGGAGTTGGAGACAGGGAGCTGTTGGCGGTGGTCCTCGCTCTGGAGGAATGGAGACACTGGCTGGAGGGCGCAGTCCATCCATTCCGGATTCTCACTGACCACCGGAATTTGGAGCACGTACGGGCAGCGAAACGGATGAAATCTCGTCATGCCAGGTGGGCCCAATTTCTTACTCGCTTTCAGTTTATTCTGTCCTACCACCCAGGATCCCAGAATGAAGAAAGCCATCCTCTCCAGGACACACCATACCGGAGAAAGGAAGGTTCTGGGGGGTCCTATCCTGCCTCCGTCTCTCATCGTGGCACCTGTCGTTTGGGATGTGGACGAAGACATCCGCCTGCCGGCTCAGGAGGACCCAGCGCCTGCCAACGCCCCTCCGGGGCGCGTGTATGTACCCACCAGGGTCCGTGACCGCCTGCTGATCTGGGCGCACACCACCCTTACGGCAGGACACTCAGGTATGGGTACTGTCACGTCTCCTCCTGTTGCTCCCGTCCGGCGCTCTGATTCGCCAGTCTACTGAGCCACCGGTCTGAGCGCACCACCTCGGCAACACCGGAATGGAAACCCAACGCACCCTAATCACCTCCAGCGCACCTGCACCTCATCATCTCATCACCACCCCTATATAACCCTGGACTGTTCAGTGATGTGCTGTGTGTGATTGTTAGTGTCTTGTCGTGTACTCGCTCTTTGTTGTTCTCTTGCTCAGTGTTAAGTAAACCTTTACATTGTTGATTCCTGTGTCTGCGTCCTGCCTCTTCGTATCCTCAGTACTCGTCACACTAGGGGTAAAGTGTCAGCCTATTAATTAAGAAAATATAAAAAATGCCCTATTACCAGGCTATTTTAAATCGAATACAAATTCACTATAATTGTAGGCTAACTCTGGAAGCTGCCCTGCACAATCAATGAACCAACAGCATCGCCTAGGCCTACAGGTTCTCTCCTAGACTCGTTGATAGAAAGTTTGGAGCATAGCATAAGGTAACCAGTCCATCCAGTATGCATAATAATACAGTCCACACTCAAAGGCGATTACTAGAATGTGTTTAATTTTGGAGAATACCAAAGACATCTTACATCAGTTTTTTTATTAAAAAATTTTGCCGTGCGTAATATGCGGTAGGTTATTAGGCTATGTGTTGTATAACGGCACAATCATAATTCTGTTTTTCTTTAGGGCTTGGGCTCATATGTATAAGCTTTAATATGCGTATGGGTGTTTGAATTAATCATCCCCTTAGAAAGCGCTGTCCATTTAGTTGTATTAGGCTTTGAAACGAGATCCACAATGACCATGTTTTCCACTCAGTTTCAACCTGTTGTTGAACTTCTTTCTTCAAATTGATCGATCACAGTGAAGTGAGTTTTAAAAGCATGATACTGTTTTGATGATAAGTGTTTGATGTGATTTTCGATTGCATTTGCATTGATGTCAGAGTGGTTAGAGGGACAATAGAGCGCTGAGTATCAGGCCATTAGCAACCTGACAGTCGTTAGCGAGTTGGGTACTACCAACGCATGTCCAGAGTGCATAAAAGATTACAGTGACTCAACGGTCACGTGGAATTTTACTGCGGTCATGACTCATGACTGCCAGTGTGGCGGTAATACGGTCACCGCAACAGTCCTAGGTATGACCAATCGCCTTCAGTCCACACCAGAGGAGTGTTCTCAGAACTGAAGCCTTTAGATAATGTAATCTGCTTGCAACTTTCATTTAGGCCTAGTTCTTCTAGTTTTCCATAGAAAAAGCGACTGACTTGGGAGCATAAAGTTTCACTCATACTAGTTATACAAGAGAAGGTTGGGCTCTATACCACCTTGCATGTGACAGATATTTCGATAGGCTGCCATAGACTGGGGATACACTGCTGACTAATGGCGGCCCAAATACAGCCATCTAACACTTTTGCCATGCAAGAGCGCACAAAGCTGCTTTTGTTCAAATTAGATGCTGCCAGACAATCACTTCCACTGTAACACGGCTAATGGAGAGCATTTGTGTTCTAAAGACGATTATCACACCAAGAGTTGAACCTGAGAAGGCCTTTGCACTACTAGCCAGACAGGCATGACACAGACGACAGACCTGGGTTCGAATAGTATTGGTTTTCTTTCAAATAGCTGCACTTGATTGAGCTTGCCTGGCACAATGGAACAAATGGGTTAGAACAAACAATGTAAACCCCGCACAGTTGGCACTCAGACAGGCTCAATCAAATGGTGAAAGTATTTGAAAGAAAACTAAAATTATTTGAAGCCAGGTCTAGTATGACATGAAGAGCTCAACATGACTGCATATGATGATCAGATATCACTTCATTTAGTTATGTGTTACATAGTACAGACAGTGGAGGATGTTTGAGAAATTAAACCCATGATCCATGATCACACTCACATTCTTTGGCAGAACTGATGTGGCATATCCAAATTAATTTCCAACCTGCCCCTAGCCAGCCTATATTCTATCGCTCGAGATCTTTACATAAATGTCAATTGTCAATATCACAAGATTTACATTAGTTAGGGCATGGCAGCGTCATACAAGATACAAACCAATGGCTTTGTGGGGGGTGAAAAATCATGTGAGGGGATAGGGAATAGAACAAGATTCATGTTTGGCATGAAAACATATGGCATGGCAACGATGGAATAGTTGGCTACAGCATAATGAAACAGTATGTGATCAGACTACTTCAGACGTACTGTACCTTTGGATAGGTCCTGAAACTTGTCACTGGTTTTCTTCTTGCGCCATTTCCAGGGTTTGAAGATCTTCCCTATAGTGGAGAGCTTCCCCTTCTGCTTCAGTGGAGGAGTCTGGGTGCTACCCACCACAACATCACAGTTGGACAGAGAAGCTTTTTCCAGTCCGTCAACTGCGGGGAAATCACACAAGGACACCTGATCAGAAATTAATGAACTTATTTACTTAGCCATGTGGAACATAGGGTAGCAAAACTACCGGTAATTTACCAAAGTTATCGGAACTTTCTGTAATTTTGTAATTAACAGGTAATCTATGGTAACTTTGGTCATTTATATTAAAACATTTTTTTTCTTAAATCCTTATATCTGTGTCCATATTGTCCATGAGTTTCTAGTGGATAGACCATGTGGTTCAACAGAAAAGAGCCTACTTAATGAAAAAACATCTAATCAACAATGGCATAATTTTCGATTAACTCTGCAACTATTCCAACAGTTTGGCGCCAAAACATTTACAAAAACATATTGACATAGTAAAATAAATAAATATATTTGATATGTTATGAAAATTCCATACAATCCTGAATGTTTCCGAAATTCCGGTAGTTTACTTATAAACTTTGAAAGTTACCGGTAATATACCCTCCATTTGCAACACTATTGGAACATTATGCTTTACGAATTACTAAACACAAAATGAGAAAGTGGATATTGCACAATGGTGAAATCACTTCAGTATGTGTCAGAAATAAACATGTACTTTCACATGACTTTAATTAGATTTTCTAGGCCAACCATTTTGTCAACAATTATCCCAACTTTGTTGCATTTAGAAATGTCTCTTCTTTGCAAAATAAATCATCATCTCCAAAGCAAAGCAAAATAGCAGATAAAACCTTCTGATACAGCGCTGCACTAGGGCATTCACAGTGATTCATTTGTTGCTGTACTTGGCCTTAGCAACCAGATTCATGTCCTTCCCTAATCCTTTCCTTTCCTGTTTGAAAGTAAGAAGCCAGGGGAAAGGGAACAGGCTGGAATGCTAAGGCTGGAGGGGAAAAGATGAGGTGTGGCGTTTCCTCATGTCTCACTTCTCAGGAATAGGGAGGTTCCATGGCCCATGGCTGCTGAATGTTTTCACTGCACCATAAATACATGCAGTCCATACAGTATTCAGACCCCTTGACTTTTTCCACATTTTGTTACATTACAGCCTTATACTAAAATTGATTAAATAAATACAAACATCTCAGCAAAGCGAAAACAGCATTTTAGATTTTTGGCACATTTATAAAAAACAGAAATATCTTATTTACGTAAGTATTCAGACCCTTTGCTATGAGACTCGAAATTCAGCTCAGGTGCATCCTGTTTCCATTGATCATCCTTGAGATGTTTCTACAACTTGATTGGAGTCCACCTGTGGTAAATTCAATTGATTGGACATGATTTGGAAAGGCACACACCTGTATATATAAGGTCCCACAGTTGGCAGTGCATGTCAGAGCAAAAACCAAGCCATGAGGTTGAAGGAATTGTCCGTAGAGCGCCGAGACAGGATTGTCTCGAGGCACAGATCTGGGGAAGGGTACCAAAAAATGTCTGCAGCATTGAAGGTCCCCAACAACACAGTGACCTCCATCATTCTTAAATGGAAGAAGTTTGGAACCACCAAGACTCTTCCTAGAGCTGGCCGCCTGGCCAAACTGAGCAATCGGGGGAGAAGGGCCTTGGTCAGGGAGGTGAACAAGAACCCGATGGTCACTCTGACAGAGCTCTAGAGTTCCTCTGTGGAGATGGGAGAACCTTCCAGAAGGACAACCCTCTCTACAGCACTCCACCAATCAGGCCTTTATGGTAGAGTGGCCAGATGGAAGCCACTCCTCAGTAAAAGGCACATGACAGCCCGCTTGAAGTTTGCCAAAAGGCACCTAAAGACTCTCAGACCATGAGAAACAAGATTCTCTGGTCTGATGAAACCAAGATTGAACTCTTTGGCCTGAATGCCAAGTGTCACGTCTGGAGGAAACCTGGCACCATCCCTACGGTGAAGCATGGTGGCGGCAGCATCATGCTGTGGGGATGATTTTCAGCGCCAGCGACTGGGAGACTAGTCAGGATCGAGGCAAAGATGAACGGAGCAAAGTACAGAGATATCCTTGAGGAAAACCTGCTCCAGAGCGCTCATGACCTCAGACTGGGGTGAAGGTTCACCTTCCAACAGGAACCACCCAAAGCACACAGACGAGACAACGCAGGAGGGGCTTCGGGACAAGTCTCTGAATGTCCTTGAGTGGCCCAGCCAGAGCCCGGACTTGAACTCGATCGACCATCTCTGGAGACCTGAAAATAGCTGTGTAGCAACGCTCACCATTCATCCGGATCTGCAGAGAAGAATGGGAGAAACTCCCCAAATACAGGTGTGCCAAGATTGTAGCGTCATACCCAAGAAGACTTGATGCTGTAATCGCTGCCAAAAGTGCTTCAAAGTACTGAGTAAAGGATCTAAATACTTATGTAAATGTGATATTTCAGTTTTTTATTTTATATAAATTAGCAAACATTTCTAAAAACCTGTTTTTGCTTTGTCATTATTTACATTTTACATTTTAGTCATTTAGCAGATGCTCTTATCCAAAGCGACTTACAGTTAGTGAGTGCATACATTTTTAAATTATGGGGTATTGTGTGTAGATTGATGAGGAGGAAAAAACATTTTAATCAATTTTAGAATAAGGCTGTAACGTAACAAAATGTGGAAAAAGTCAAGGGGTCTGAACACTTTCCGAAAGCATGTTTTATGTACATACAGTACATAAAACGCTGCTACCACAGAGGAAGATTCTCTACCTACTTTGTTGAAAAGATTAACACCATAAGAATTGGAATCATCGCCTCCACGATCAACTGTGGCGTCCCTCGAGGCTCCATTCCTTTTCATAATCTACAAGCTCCCCCTTGGTCTCCTAATCAGGAAACACAACATCCAATTCCACTGTAACATAAAAACAACCCCAGACTCCCTCTCCTTCATAACCCCCAATACCTCAGTGAACTCTTCAGCCCCAAACAGTCTTCAAGTTCACTCCGGTCAAATGATCAATGACTCCTTGCAGTCCCAAAGACGCACCTAAAAACAATGGGTGACAAGCATTCTGCTGTCTTGGCCCCCGGCTCTGGAACGAGCTCCCACCCACCACCTCTGCCTTTAAGTCTGAGCTCAAGAAACACTTCTTCAAACTGGCTTTTGCTTAATGTGATTGTTGTGGTGTCTGGGGCGGCAGGTAGCTTAGTGGTTAAGAGCGTTGTGCCAGTAACCGAAAGGTCGCTGGTTCTAATCCCAGAGACGACTAGGTGAAAAATCTGACGATGTGCCCTTGAGCAAGGCACTTAACCCTAATTGCTCCTGTAAGTCGCTCTGGATAAGAGCGTCTGCTAAATGACTAAAAATGTAAATGTTGTTGGTCTTATACATTAGTTTCAAGTTATTATTTTGTCCTTGTCACCTCCTTTATTAAACGTATGTATCTTGTATAGTACTAGGCTGCTCGCTATCTTTTAATTTCTCGCTTAAAGTTTTTTAGCCCTTTTATTAAAGTGTTTTCCTTTTAATGGTTGCTCTCAACGTAAAGAGCTTTGATTTATTTCTGTAAATGAAAAGCGCTCTACAAATGCAATTTATTATTATTATTACAGTATGTTTGATGTTTGTTTTGATTGCTGAAGGAGCACATCCTTGTTCAGGAGAAACCACTGTTAATACATTAAGGCTGATTTAATAAATTGAATGAAAGAAAGGTTTTTTTTTTTTTTTAAACATGGTGGGATAGAATCCCTGACCATCTCAAGAACAATTCAAGCTCCATTTCATTTAATCTCCAGGTAGCTGTAAATAAGCAGCACTACTGTAATATGAAAGCATGAGTCTCTGTCTGATGGAGGGGAAGTGAAGTGAGGCCTGTCCAAATAAAAAGGGAACACAAGAGCAACACATGGGAGGTTCCCATTGACACAAAGGAAACATCACACAGTGTAAAAATGATGTGCTTGAGAAACATAGGAAGTGTCAAAGATGTAGGCCCTATTCCAACTACGAGAGATGAAGGAGAGTCTAAGAAGCGAAGGGGCCAAAGAGATTTCTACTTTCAATTCACATTACATACTTGCCTTACCTTTCATTGCGGCTTGCAACGTGACATTCTTGGTCCACAGCTCAAATTGACCATACATATCACAGTTCACAAACTATTTAACAATCCAAGCAACTTTTCTTCTAAAACATATTACAATACTGTATATTGCAACCAAACCATATTACACTTTTGAATAAAGCAACAATCCACAAGCATGTGCAGACAATTAAAGGGTTTCTTTTCTCGTCCGTACACATTAAAAGATGCACTACGCTGAAATCGCTCTGCAATTTCCTGGTTGCTAACATTCTAATAGTTCACTTAATTTCAGTTTATGTGACAAAGCAAGCAAGTATGGTATAGAGAATCATTGCACCATCTAAACCGCTGTGAAATATATTTTCCATAACCACAAATATTGTATTTTCAGCTGGTGTACAAAACTGAAATTAAAAGATGCAAAAGCTAAACTTAAGAACGGGAAGCATAGAAATAGTGCACATAGAACAGATCTACCACTTCTTAGACTTGATTTCAATGAGAATGACAGATCTATGACTCACATTTCAATGTGAATTTGGTCGGGTCGCCCAAAAAGTTATATTGCAGCTTTAAATTAGCTGATAACAAACAACCAACTCCTGCTCGCTAGCTAACTAACTAACATTAACAACATGTGTCATGATCAAGTAATGTTAGCATATCGATAATGAACGTTTACCCCTCCCATACGAATATAAAAGTACAGTAACGTTATCATACAGTGTCATTCATATTATATGATAGGCTACACCGCTAGGTAATGTTAGCTAGCAAGCTAGCTAGCTAAACAAAATAATTTCTGCATCCAAACATAAACGTGCTGGCTGTAGCTGAATGCTGACGTTTAGCTGAACCATAGCTAGATAGGAGCTCTTAGGCTTACACTAGCTACCGTATTAAAGTTACCTTAGAACAAGCCAGGCTTCATTTGATCAGTATCATGGAAGTCATAATATGAGGGAAAAGCAAATTGCGACTGAAAACGTTGATAATTCCCTGGGGAGTTGCTTCTCTCGGTAGAGGCCCAGTGCAGTCAAGCAGAAAACACTATTGAAATGGAAAGCTATGGCGACAATTTCAGAATGTAACAGGCTGTTACTACAATTTCATGTAAAAAGTCCACCTGTGGTAAATTCAATTGATTGGACATGATTTGGAAAGGCACACACCTGTCTATATAAGGTCCCACAGTTGACAGTGCATGTCAGAGCAAAAACCAAGCCATGAGGTTGAAGGAATTGTCCGTAAAGACAGCGCCGGAAGAAGATGGCTGCCGTTTTACAGCCCTCTAACCAATTGTACTATTATGTGTGTTTTTCCGCGTTATTTGTCATTTATTTTGTACATAATGTTTCTGCCATCGTCTCTTATAACCAAAGAGAGCTTCTGGATATCAGGACAGCGATTACTCACCTCGCGTTGGACGAAGACTTTTTCTTCAACGAGGCGTTCGCGAAGGATATTCTACAGACAC